GTTCACCATTGATTACACAGACAAACCGACTTGTTCTACCAGTCACTCTTAAGTGGATTGTATTTCTTTTTCTTTCGCTCTCTATCTGTTTTNGACAATAATTGCAACTTCCTACGAGTGCACAGCTAAACTCCACAAAGTCCTAGCGGTGCACGCAAAAAAAGGCTCGCTGTAGTCCTGGCTTGCCAGACTTACCCCCCTGTTTCTTTCGCTCTCTATCTGTTTGTCCACACTGATTTGACAAATCTGTGCTGATGAAGCTTGCACTTGCACTTGAAAGGCGGCAGAATAAAGTACATTTGTTCGGTGTCACAACAAAAGCACTTTCATTTTAACACGGCGGAAAAAGCAGGAAATAGACTCAAGGTAACACCTCAGAGGGAAGGAGAAAAGGCAGGCACAATGACTGCAAGACACACTCACTCACTAATCAGTGAAGCAGAATTATTTATACGCACGTGTCACTGTGGATGATGGACATACTCANCGGCGGAAAAAGCAGGAAATAGACTCAAGGTAACACCTCAGAGGGAAGGAAAGATGGCAGACACAATGACTGCAAGACTCACTCACTCACTAATCAGTGAAGCAGAATTATTTATACGCACGTGTCACTGTGGATGATGGACATACTCAGCCACTGACGCGCACATCAAAAACAGATGACAAATGAGCTGGGAACACAGTGCTTTCACAGGTATAAAAAAGACTTACTCACGAGACTTACCTCACGATAGGAGAGATAATGTAGATGGGATAAATTACTTGTGAAACAGTAGACTAAAAGGTAAACACAAGTAATAACGTGTTATTTCTTTATTCCCATTAAAATGAACTAAAAGTAGCATCATGATGCTTCTTCGGCTGGTCAGTATGTTGAGAATGTTCACTTGAATGGCATCTGAAGAATGGCTCTGTTGGCTGTTTTTTCAGGGATCTCATGGTTAATCAGCAATCAATAACTTTGGCAGTGAGTTGGTCACTTGTGAACCGCTGTAGTCGCCGCCGCCGCCGCCCGGCGCAGCCAAACCCGAAAACAGACGACAAAACAACTGCAGTGAAGCAGTATATAGAGTACTGGACCAGCAGCAACCACTTGAATGACTTCTGCGCACTGACTGGAATCGGCATTGACTAGAAACAAAAAAACATTTCGGGTTGCTGCCATAATAAGAATTTGGCGCTACGATGAGAGATATGGCACTAAGTGGTGATGTCCGTACTGCTGGGCAATATCGAGAAGACTTCGCTGGTGTCCGTCAGAGGTTTGCCTGGCTCCCAGTTGAAGCAGCAGCTCAGTCGCCGACTGGTGACCTTCTCTGACGGCCAAAAAGAGCGGCGTCTGGTTCCAGGCGTCCTCTAAATCAATTTCAGCCTGCAGCTCGTTGACTAAGTACTTCAGCACACTGACTGCATTGGTTTGAGCGGCCATGTGCAGGGCACTACGGCCTGAATTGTCCACCTGATTGACGTGGAAGGATGATGAACCGTCTGAAGAACGTCTGAGAAGTTGACACAACTCTACGTTGTCAATGCGAGCTGCGTCCATGAAGGGAGTGACGCCGCAGACATCAGTCGCCCGTACGTCGAGAGGTCCCGCAAAAAAGGAGCTGTCAAGAAGGCGACTCGCCAAGTGGTGGTGTCCGTTCATCACAGCAATGTGCAGTAAAGTGCGGCCGTTTTTTGTTCGAACATGCCAAGGCGAGTACAGTTTCTTTGCTGTGCAGTGCCGCTCCAGTAAGTTCACCAGCTGTTCGTCGCCGGTTCTGGTCGCCAAAGCAACGGCATTCCAGCCGTCTTTATTGCAGAGTCGTATGTCGGCGCCGCATTCGAGAAGGAGAGCAGTCAGCCCCAGATCGACTTTGCAAACGGAGACCATCAGGGAGTTCCAATTGCCTCGTTTCAGGGCGTCCACCTGTGCTCCATTGGCTAAAAGCACTCTGGCACAGTCTGCCGATCCAAAGATGGAACACTGATGAATAGCGGTTTTTCCTTCGGCATCACGAGAATCGACTAGACTCTGAAATTGAAAACAAATATAAGAAGTTTTGTAAACTTAAAATTCAAAACAACTTACAGCAAGTTCAGCTTTTGCTAGGATGGCATCACAAATCTTGTAGGCATTATACTGAGCGCACAAGTGCAGTATTTGTGAGCCGTGTTTTCTCTGTACGACTGCATTTACCTCTTGAAAACTGGCAACAAAATTACTTTCATTGCTAGAAAGCAGTGAAACAAATTCTTCCAAATTATCGATTTTTATGGCGCTCAGTACTTTCTTTTCCCCTGGAATGCACTTCATTGAAAGCGATAAATCAAGAATATCAAGAATGTGAAATTAAAAAACGTGAAAACCAAAATCAAAACATTACAAAATCGATGGCAGACTTTTTGCTGACACTTTGAGCTGATCTGGGGGCTATATGATGGTGGTGCCTGCCCAATTCACAGATAACGCCAAGTGAACCATGTGCTATGCAAAGTGTGCAGCACAGCCACCCTACAGCTGCCCAAATCCCTGCAAACTGTCAGCCTAGCAAACATCGATTGCTCGAGAAATGCGATAGTGTAAAAATGTAATTTCTGTAAGAATACGTCAGTCTTCTGAAATCTAGATCAAAATTCTAGATCATAAAAAGCAAAGGTTTGACTTGGCACTTTTGCCCAACCAAAAATCGTCTGTTCTGCTAATCATGCACACCTCAACGCGAACCGCCGCCGTCCACCTGGCCTTTTTCCTTCTGCTCACCGTCTGTTTGCACCAGTTGTGCCACGCTGAAGAGGCGAGCAGTGAGGCGCCGGCAAAAAAGAAAATTACCAAACTGCAAATTGGCATTAAAAAGCGAGCTGAAAACTGTTCGGTTAGAGGCTCCAAAGGGGACACTTTGCACATTCACTATCGGGTAAGTAGTGCCTCTCAATTCAATAGAATTGATTTACTTAATGAGAACATTCTGTCACTTTCTAGGGTACGCTCTACGATACCGGCGCCGAATTTGACAGGTAAACAAGTCAATTTATTACAAGTATAACTGCATTTACTCAAACACTTTCTTATAGTTCTTACAAACGGGGCAACCCACTGACTTTTAAACTGGGAGCCGGTCAGGTGATTGCCGGCTGGGACCAGGGCCTGTTGGGCGTTTGCGAGGGTGAGAAGCGCAAACTGGTCATTCCCTCGGACATGGCCTACGGCTCTGCCGGCTCACCGCCCACCATTCCGCCTGATGCTACCCTGGTCTTTGAAGTGGAGTGCGTCAAGATTGAGGGTCGCAAGGGTGAACTGTGAACGCCGCAAACAAACTCACTTGTACGCTTTTTCCCACTGTACAATCGCCTGTAATGAGCTCAATAATAAATCTTAAGTCAGTTCTTTTTAGTGCATTGCACTTACAGTGCAGCACAGCATATAAATGAGGCGTGGAGTCAATATTTAAATGCTCCTTTTAATTTGCATCCGTATCTACATAAAAAAGAAGGTTGACGCGAGAAAATACATTCAATTTCTGGAAAAAGAGGAAAAGAATGAGACAAATGGCAACGAAATCTGTTTTTTAAAGTATCACTGCTCAGTTCGAATCGAGAGGCGTTGCTCAAAAACACTGAGGGCAGTTGCGCGAGGCAAAAATTGTGTTTGTAAAATCGATTAAAAGACAGGTGAGATTCGAAAGAGAAAATAAGAAAGTGTGATCTAAATAAAGAAAAGGAAATGTCCAAAAGAGGAGAAGTTGAACGGGCGAAGCAAACAGCAGCAGCAGCAGCAGCTGCAACCTTTGCCGGTTCAAAGAAAAGAAAAAATAAAAGTGAAAAGCGAGAAGATAAGAAGAAAGTGCTGTTACATTTTCAGTAGGCGATGAAGAAGAAAGTTGTCAAGTAGAGCAGAGAGAGAAAGAGAGTCAAGGAAAGTGAGGAGGAGAGAAGGGAAAGAGAAGAGATGTGTGGATAGTTGAGATGTCGCCATCTTATCAGCAGTGGTGGTCGACGTCTTCATTTGGACACGGATTTTCACATGACGGCTTGGTGGTGCTGGTGTTGGGCTTGGTGTTGTGCTGGCTCACATTTCACTGCAAGTGTGTGTGTGTGCTAAACTCGATAGGGAGAGGCATAGGTGGCGGGAAAGAATCCCCTTCGGGCGCCAATTTCGCCCTCCCACCAGTTGGCGTCCGATCGGTCGATGACGGTGATAATGTCGCCTCGATGAAACTCAAGCTCGCCCGCCTCCTGTGGACTAAAGTCGTAGATGGCCTGCACTAGAAACTGATGACCAGAAGGTAGTGGAAACAAAGTATAAAACAAATTAAATTAGGTACTTCCATAAGAGATAACAGACCAAAAAACAAACCTGCTCGGGACGCATGTCGATGAGCTTGATGTCCTGTGATCGGCTGACTGAGGCCGAGCGGTGATACTCCACCAGTTCATTTAAGGAGTTGAACTTGACCACCCACAGGAAGAACTTTCCCGACTGGTCCCGGAGTACTTTGAAGTGCTGCACGCCGTCTGCGCATCTGAGGAGGTTCAAGAGATTGGCCAGTCGAGTGGTTGGCAGGACAAGACAAAGGTAATAAGAGTTAGTAACCAGAATGATAACATCAACATCGACAGCTGCTGCTGTTCCTGTCTCTAATACGCACTTTACAGAGAGGGAAAAGTCGCCCGGTGAGCTCTCACTGACGCGGATTAGGAAGGCGCCTTCGTTCATATTGGATAACAGTCTTTCCGCATCCGCTCTGGTGATTCGACCGTAGTACCATCTGCAAGGGCAAAAGAAAGGTAGAGGGTGAAGATTAGAACATAGTGCATCAGCTTTGAGCATCCTCTGTGCAGAAGTGATTGCACTCACTCGTGAGGTTTCATTTCAATATAATTGCTCGGTATAAGGCCTTCACGTGAATCAAGCTCCGCACGGTACCAATTTGTATCATCCTCGATGTTGAGGACCTAGCAAATGAGATGAAATAGGTTAGCGGTCAGTTGCAAACAATTTCTCCAATAACAAACCGCAAAAAGCAGCTTACCTTGAGGGTTTCTCCCCGTCTAAAGCTGAGTTCATCTTCCGCCGTAGCGTTGAATTCGTGCTTGGCAATGGCTTCCATTTTGTAGAGTACTAGGTGTTTATAATAAAAGAATTGCGAAAAGAAAAAAGCTTGAGCAAAAAGTAGAGAAGCGTTTGGCACTGCTGTAAAATAAATGTTTTTATTTGCTTGATGTGTAAAGTTGCGTGTGTGTGTGTTCAAGAACCACAGCTCAATTAGAGATGCGCTAAGCGAGGAGAGAATGCTCTGGGAAAGAGAGAATCGGCGCTGCTGTGGCGAAAGAAGAAATGAAGAATGTAGAAGAAGACTCCGGCAGAAAAGCCTCGGTGTATTGGTGGTGGTAATGCAGAGGCTGTGCAGAATGAATCGACCGAGCAGCAATTTGAGGGACAACCGAGGCAAAACAGTGACACTGACAGTCGGCGGCGGCGGTGGAGCACAGAATTCCGCCTACTGAAATGACTGAGGAAAGCTGTTGGAAGGAGAGAGGAGAGTAAGACAGAGCGCAGATGGCCGTCGATGATGATGATGGTGATGGTGGTGGTGATACCGAACGGAACAACAACAACAACACCGACGATGATGACGACTACGGCAATGGCAATGGCACTGGTGACAGTGTGTTTGTTTGTGTTCTTTTAATTGGCTGTGCTGAAGACGGAGACAAAGACGACAGTCGACGACACCGAGACCGAGGGCAATGGCAGCAGTTGCAGCTGCAACAACAACAGCAACAGCAGAAGATCCGGGAGTGAGAGAGAGAGAGTAGAGTTCTTGCTCCACTCAGATGAGGTGGTCAACGTGACCAACACGCAGAGTTCAAGGCAGAAAGGAAAGGGGATTCGGTACTTTACTACACCTCACTAACTTTTCGGGGCTGTTTGGTGGGCGGTGGTAGGTTTGTCGTAGTGCTCCTCTTCTCGTAAATTCTCTGGTAGTGGTCTTGGTGATGGTGGTGATGACGGTGGTCGTGGTAGTAGTAGTGGTGGTAGTGGTGGTAGTTGGGCAAGTGGCCTGCCTAGGCCTTTCAGTGGTGGTCGTGCCGATGGTGGTGATCAGTGTGATCAGTGTGTATGTTACTGTGGCAATGTGCAATGCCAGCGAGTGATATTGTTATGGAGAGAGCCTCTGGCGAGACGAGAGATCGAGCAATTTCGTCGAACTAGATGAGTGCCAGTGCCAGAGCCAGTGCTGCTGCTGCTGTTGAGGAGAGAGAGAGAGACGACGTTTGTAAAGAAGGTGGGACTTTACTGGCCGAAACAGTGTAGCGGACAGTGAGCCTCTCGTTGAGCTGCTGGTAGTGGTAGTAGTAGTGCCTGTAGTGCCAGTCTCAGTGTCAGTTGCCTGTCAGTCGATAGAGTAGCCCTGTGCAGAAAGTAAGTAAGATGGCCAAGAGAATATATTTGGACACATTGGAGGATGCTGCTGAGGACATATCAAACAAAGAATGACTGATAAGAAGAAAAATAGGAACACATCACACATCAACTGTACAGTGCTTTAGTAGTACAACAGTGCACTAAGCAACCATTTGATTTTTGATGATCTTCAAATAAAAATTGCAAATTGCAGTTGCACACATACACACAAAATCAATGCATCTGGGCTCAAGAATTCTTTCCTTCACTCGGTGGGGCAGGGAATTCAGTGATGGGGGACAGTGCAGAGANATCAATGCATCTGGGCTCAAGAATTCTTTCCTTCACTCGGTGGGGCAGGGGGATTCAGAGATGGAGGGATGCAGAGGCAGCAGCAGCAGCAGCAGCACAGTACACCTTGCAAGCATACTGTGAGGCTAAGCCACGACCACTTGGCAAATTCTTCTCTCTCCCTGGAGTCGTTGTGAATCGGCCAGCCTGGCGGCAGTCGGCGGTGCATTGCCGCAGCAGACTGGCTCACAGGCTCTCATTCACTGTCAGTGCCGGCTTGGAGACACCAGAGCAGGCTGCTGCTGCTTCTTCAACATACGTTTCCTGCTGTTGCTGTCCTAGACCACACTAGAGCTACTGAAGAGCACACAGTACAGGTGGCAATGCAGACACTGACACCGACAGAGACACACTTTGCAGTGCGGTGCTGCTGGTGGTGGTGGTTATCGCCCAATACTGTCAGCCCATACGTCGTAAGTCGAGCGAAAAAAGAGTCAATGACGACATCAGAGCGACAGAGGATGATCCACTGAAATACTGTGATGTCGGCTCTTTTGCTGTTGCCTGCTTGTTCGCCGCCGCTGCCTGCCTGCTTCAACACACCGCCAAAGTGTGGAAGTTTATTTCATTGAACGGCAGTAACGGTATAAACAATAACATCATGAGGAAGCGGTGAGGATGATGAGGATGAAGAGTGGGATGATTTCAATGCCGCCAACTCATGCACACAGCAATAAATCGCGTTCAGTAAACAGTTGATGATGATGATGATGATGATCACCGAAATGAGCAACACACTAACTGTTTACTGCTGCTGCTGAAGAAAAAGTCGACTGTTTCAGCTGCAGCAGTCTCTCCGAGACCTCCTGGTCCACCGAGCACAGCAGCTCATAGTCCCTGGTCGCCTGGTGCACACGTGCCAAATTGGAGCAGGTGTAGGCCAGGCAGTGGTGTCGCTGACCGGGCCACCTGCCCACCTCCAACTGCATCGGCGCTCCGGTGCAGGCGGCACAGGTGCCCACCAGTTGATTCATCGCTCGGCCGGCACTGCACACCTTCTCCTTCAAGAGGAGGACCGCCTTCTGTGGCGCCAGCTGACACCGCCCACACACTGGGTACTGCAGCTGCTGATCGGTGACGCCTCTTGAAGTAGTAGCAGTAGTAGTAGTGCTGGCCCTCTTATTGTCCGCAATCTTTCGGTGACAGAGAACGCACAGTGCAGTCGCCAGATGCTCTCGAAGTTTGCCAGCCTCTCCCTCCGCCAGAGTGTCCAGTTTCAGTTTGTCAGCTCGCCAGTGTCGCACCTCATTGTACCAGTCCATGAGGAGGGCGTAGTCAAAGTCGGGCAGTACTTCGAGCACACGGACCAGTGCGGGAAAGATCGCCCTTAAAATGTAGTAGGGTCCGTTTAGTGTCAGAGCACGATCAGAGAGCAAATCAGCCGGCGAGCGAACAAGATCAGCGAGACGGTCCTGCGGCGAGCTGCCGGCGACAATGACGTACGGCACTCGGTCAAGCTGTTTCGGCTCGCCCAGCGGATCGACCGCCATTCGCTGTCGGGCAATGATGCAGGAGGGCATCACCGACGCGTTCGCGTAGAACTGCAGTCCCCAGAACTTCTTCGCAAAGACAAAGTCATTCAGGCTGCTCAGTCGGCCGTTGAGGATCTTCTTAATCTGCCACTGCAGAAAGGGTTTCACGTAGGCGAGGTCGGCGTTGTGCCGGAAGAGAATGTCGATGCACTTTCGCAGTATCTTCGGCGCCGCCTTGCAGTTGTCTCGGCGAACCGTCTCGATGCCCTTGGCGTCAAAGAAGGGCTTTCCAGTGGGCGACTCGAAGGCATTGCCGCAGTACCGCTGCAATAAAAGAGGAAGAAATGGTAGTCAGAATTTTAAAAAATCAATTTGAGAAAGCAAACCTTCTTTGCAAGCAGCAAACATGGCTGGTAGACCTTTTCCAGTTTGATGCCCATCGGATACGGATTACGCCTGGTGATTTCCCCCACAATCTCCCCCGCTCCTTTGAAGGCTTCGGCCATTGTGGCGTTGGGAAATGAAACAAAGACTGAGTCGGTGTCACCGTAGACGACCCTGGCGCCCGTTCCTGAGCGCACGCCCCAGTCGTTGATGAAGAGAATCGCCTGCTCCAGCGCCTCACGTCCCTTCGACACGATCGAGTCGGCAATGTCCACGCAGGGCATTCTCCCAGAAAAGTTCGCCGAGGTGTAGCCGTAGGTGACGTTGGCGATTAGCTTCAAACCGAGCTGACAGACGTCCAGTTGCCGCTTCAGGCGCTTCAGCTGCCGGCGAACTGTAGAGGACAAAGGTTGGCCGCCGGCCAACTGCGCGGACACCTGCTTCAGCTCATTCTTGATCAGAACGCGAGTGTACAGAAGGTCCTCAAGCATTCTTTGAATTGAGTAAAAAGGTTCAGTTTTGGCAGGTTTCAGTTAAAAAACAAGGTAACTTACTTTGGCACCAATCCCTTCCTGACGTTTGCCTTGACAAAGCAGGCACCACTTGGCGAGATGTGAATGTCCTCCAGCAGCCTGGTCACCGTCGCCTGTTCAGTCTTTAGCTTATGGCAGCCAAATCTGTCCTCCGAGCTGCCAGTCAAAAATAGTTCAGTAAACCTCCCTTTTTCATTTTTTGCATCAATCAATCACTTTACCGAAAAATATTCTTTAGCTTTCCCAAACACGTGCTAAAGCAGTAGTTGTAGGCGATCATCACCGAGGGGTAGAGCGAGTTGAAGTCCAGCACGGCGACTGGCTCTGCGTGGAAGGCACTGTCCGGCTCGAGGACCAGCTGAATAAACTCCGGCGACGGCATCTCGCTCACTTTCTCCTTGGGAAACCTAATGGGCAGAAAGTTTTCCAGGCGAACCAGCGGAAAGAGAATGGACTCCACACGAAACTGAGAGCCTCGGTTGAGGACGTCCTCGAAGCGCATGCCAAAGAGGGCGGCCAGACCGTAGGTGCGCGGCACCACGTTCACCTGGGCCAGCATTCGAATGTTCCCAGTTACCCTGGTGAGGTAGTACTCGAGGAGGACCTGCTGGTTGAGACTGCCCAGGTGAGACCTGCCCTCGCCCCAGAGCGAGTTCAGGTGCTGGGCACTGAACCGGGGGACGCGCTCTCTGAACAGCTCATGGTAGACGTGCTCAAAGGTGTACTGGCGCAGGGACATGCTCTCCTCGTGCTTCATCACCGTCCACAGGTTGAAGATGATTCGACCGACCAGGGCGGGTGGCTTGTTGACTGCCCCCTCAAAGTTGCCCTTCGCCTGGTAGGGATTGGTGATGCGACACAGCGGCAGTGGGTCCAGCTCGAGGGCGAAGGCCCGCTGAATGAGGTAGCCCCAGGAGAGGGTGTCCACGGTGTAGCCCACCATCACGTCAGGGTCAAAGGTCTGCACAAAGCCCACTACCTGGTGGATCAGGTCGGCCTCGGTGGCCACGTAGTGCACCACCACCTTCTTCCGCTCAACCATCAGCGTCTCCTCCTGACGTCCCGCCCTAGTCTGCTCCGGTCTGACGGCGATGACGCCAATGTAGGCAAAGTGCAGTGACTCACTTTGGGCAGCCGCCTCTTGGTCTTGAGCTGCCTGCTCAGAGGAGTTCAGCTCGTCGCCCAGCTCTTCATTGTACACTGCAAAGGTGACCATCTGAATTGGGTCCACCTCGGGGTCGGCCGTCAGGTCGCCGCGCGTTTTCAGGTGCAACTCCAGCGACATCAGGGTCATCTCCAGACAGCGATTCCAGCCGAGGGACGTCAGACTGAGCAGAGGACCGCAGTCAATGGAGTTCTCAGTTGACTCGAGGGTGATCATCGAGCTGATGTCGTTCACTGGCGGTGACGGTGTGGAGCTCTGAGAGGAGCTCTGTGAGAGGACAAACTTCAGTGGATCAATCAGTGGTTTGATGCTCGGCTGCACTTCCAGCACTTCTTGCTCAAAAATGCTGTCCAGTGTGACTCGCAGTGTGCTGTTTAGGGATGATCGTCGTCGTGCGCCAGTTCGAAGCGGGTACTTTCGTATACCCCTTCCGCCAGTTTGGTTTGAGGTGATCTGAGGCGTTGACTGGAGACAAGCCCTGGCCTCCGATACAAATGGGCTTGATAGAACGGTGCTTTCAAGGGGATTATTATTATTAGATGAGCTTCGTCGACTGCTGCTGGTTGAGCATTTTCGGATTTCAATGCTGTTGAGTGACCTTTGTGAAAGTTGTTCGTTCATCACCACTCGAGTGTTTGCTGACAGTTTAGTCAGTGACAGTCGTGGCAGCTTGACTGACTTTGATGTCAACGAGTCCCTGTCGAGGCGAATTTTCTTATTCTGAAACTTAAAATGCTCGCTCAAAACGTTAGGCGATGACTGGCTACTCTGAGCGTCGTCTTCACCCCTTCGACTGATTTCCGGTGAATCGTCCATGCCGTCAAACTGGGGAACATTTTGCTCTGTGCTAGTGTTGCCGTCAGCCTCAATCGGCTCCTCCAGAGAGTACAGTGTGCGGGCTAGTTCATTAGAGCTAGGCGGATCGTACAGTTCGAGTTCTTCCAGCGTGTAGTTCATCTCGCCATATTCCTCATCGTCCTCTTCTTCCTCCTCCTCCTCTTCCCTTTCCTCCATTTCCACCTCATCCTCTAAAGTGTCCTCTTCCAAAGCTGCCTCTTCATCATCATCATCGCCATCAGCATCATTTTGACTGACAACAGCGTTGTTTGCAGGCTCTTTCACTGACGCAGTTTTAGCCAAAGATGAAGAAAGTTGTTGTGATGAGGCGTAAATATCTTTCTGTGTGTACGCTTTCAATATTTTACTGTCGATTTTATTTTGAAGCGAGATGTAGGGCTCTCTAATCATTTTGTTGCGCAGAACATCAATGAATGTGCTGTAGTCAACATTGTTCCGCTGGCACCTTCGGTACTGATCGTTCCACAGTTCAATGACACCTGGCAGAGAAGGCAGGTGCGTTGGATTAGCAGGAAAATGTTTGACGTATTTAGGACGGACAATATCGTCCACTGTTACGTCACACTCAAGCAGGCAAGAACTTGAAGGAGCTATGTCATTGAAGGCAAATGGATACTTCAATGACCGTAGCTTTTCCTTGTTCAGCAAAGCGACAGCAGGATTAGCCTCTTGAGATGCCTCTTCAAAGTGTTCAGTTTTGCGGAAGGTCACATTTTTAAGGTAAAGTGTGTTAAGGTAAATCTGATTGTCGATGTAGAACTGAAGAATAAACTCCAGACAATTGTAAGTCAGCGCTGGGTATCCGTTGATAAAGCCACGCTGAAGACATATTTTTGATCTGAAAGAATAGCAGGGTAAGCACATTTGTTAGATTACCAAAAAACTTTATATCGTACACATCTAAAGCCCAAGCTGTGTAGAATGACACCCGATAAAATACTTCTTCCTCTGGATGATATCCGTAGATGAATCTAAAAAGTTAATGAATGTGTGAGTAATTTCGACAACATTTAATCTTTGAAAATACCTGGAAGAAAAGGAATCCACTTGGTAAATGCAGTGATCGTCTTCATCTTCGGCTGCTCCAATCTGCTCTTCCCCCTCTTCTTTAGCCGCAAGCCGACTTCTAATGGCTTGCTCCAGATCATTCACAAAAATCTGTATCACCTCATCAGTGATGGCGTACTGCCCACTATCATCAGCGGCAATTCCGTACATGGCAGCCAGTTCCGCCTGTCGGATGCTAAGATGGGGATAGTACTGATGCATGTGAAGGCACACTTTGACGCCTGGTGAAGAGACCAAAGAGAAACACGTGTTTCAATATCAACAAGTTAGTCAAAAAGGGGAGTTCTCACCATCATCAGTGGAGCCAAAGATGCGCACGACAGAGGTGGTCTTGATATTCTTCCCCCTAAATATAGAGTAGGCCTTGTCATGCGAGTAGACCGGCTTGGTGTTGTAGTTGTCAATCTGGAAGATGTTCACTTTGAAGCAGTCCGCCAAATTGGTATCACCGTCGGCAGCATTCTGATTGTTGACTTGTTCGTCAACAGCAGCACCTTCACTCATCCTTCTCTTCACCCTCTGCTCCACCAGGTTAATTACTGGATAAAATCATATTAAATTATAAAATCACTTAAAAGTTCATAGAGTAACTGTCAGAAAGAATAAGAATAAGTCTTCAGAGATTTGTCATTTTGAAAGCACAACAAATCGCCTTCACTGCGACGTTCCCCGCACTTTTAGCGGCATTGCGTCAGCGGCGGGAGCACCTCTTCTCCGAACGGGTCACCAGACTGGTGAGCAGTGAAAAGAGAGAAGTCTTTTGACAAGCACATTGTGTGTGTGCCTCTGTTTTGCTCTTTGCGTTTCCATCCTCGCCGGCAAAGAAGACATGTAAGTGACTTCGGGTTTGGGTTGTATTTCTTTATTCAGGCTTAACACGATGTCTTTAATCTTCCATCAACAGGACACTTGCGAAGACAGAGACAAAGGGCCCTGTAAAGGGTGCCGTGCCAAAGGACACAAAGCGAAGTCGAAGTGCCAGCTCGCGATCCAGCCGAAGGTAAATAGTGATTGGGAGTTGGTCATTGTTAGAAGCTTACTTAAATTTTGCATTACAGCTCTCGAAGTCGGTCTCGAAGTCGCAGCAGTCGCTCTCGATCCAGCTCTAGCTCTGGTTCATCGCGAAGCTCCAGCTCGCGCTCTCGTTCTCGGTCCCGATCATCCCGCTCTTCGCGTTCTTCAAGCGCCTCGTCGCGAAGCTCAGGCTACAAGCGTCGCTTCCGCGGTGATTCCGACCGTCAGCGACCACCAGCGAAGAAGCGCTCAGTCTCGCCGCCTCACATCTCACGCCTGTACATTGGCCGCCTGACTCGAAATGTAAACAAAGACCATCTGTATGAAATTTTTGGCGCCTTCGGAAAGGTGATCAACGTTGACATGCCCATGGACCGTGTTCATCAGCACCTGAATCGCGGATTCGCTCATGTTGAGTATGACAGCATTGCCGATGGCGAGAAGGCGGTCAAGTACATGGACGGCGGACAGATTGATGGTCAGGAGGTTACCGTTTCTAAGGTCGTTATAGAAGCCCCGAGAGGAGGAGGCGGTGGTGGCGGCGGCGGAGGAGGAGGAGCACCTCCACAACGACCTCCACCACCTCGCCGCGGCGGCGGTGGGCCTGGATGGCGGCAACACGGATCACCACCTCGACGTCGAAGGTTTGTTTTCTTTTTGACAATGCCCAATTTGTTCTAATGAAACTTGTGCTTTCATGTTTCAGATCGCCTCCACCTCGTCGTTCTCCACCACGTCGTAGGGTGAGTCGTTCTCGCAGCCGAACACCCATCCGAGACCGTCGTCGTCGTGATTCTCGATCCAGCTCTTCAGGATCTTCATCTCATTAAATAAACCACTACCACCTCCTACCCACATGTAACATTACTCCACCAACACTATTTATGAGTTCCAAATTCATATGATAGCAGATTAGTAAAACTTTCACACAGCACATTTTAAAACACTCCCTCCCAAATGGTGTGTACGGATTATAAATTTATTAACAGGCCCTCTATAAATATAATCGTAAAAATTAAAGTACAAAAGTGAGTAAAAGATAGAGGTGAGGATGGATGTGTTTAGAGTTCGTCCTTCTGGTGTTCCTTCTCCGACTCGTCCTCCTCTTCGGTCTCCTGTAGTAAAAAATAATTTCGCATTAGTAAAGTTAGAACAATTAGAGAGACACTTTGGCGGCATTGGGCAACATAAACTGAGGAGGGACTAAAGACTAAAAAAGCTCAACATAAACAAAACATAAGCAGCAGTTTGACAATCAAAGACTAGTGTTGGGTAGTGGTAAAAGCAGGCATTGTATGTTTGTTAGTTGTGTTAGTTAGCTAACCTGAACCTTGGGACTAGCACCACTCAAACCACCGCTTTCAAGAAATTCGCTCAAACCCTCTAAGGTTCGCGCGCCGTTATACTCGACAATCTATTGAAGGGGTAAGTGGAAAGAATGGGGAGAGCAAAGGAGGGGCAAAGGAATTAGTAAATGGGTAATAAAGGTACATCACCTCTTCGGGGGCGGCGCGGCCGTAGTCTCCGCCGGTTTCGAGGAACTTGGTCAGGCCTTCCAGGGTTCGCTCGCCGTTGTATTCAATTACCTAAGGAAAAGGGAAAGAATGAGGTAGTGTGAGTAGGTAGCTCATTCAAAGCTCTGATTTGCCCATACCTCATTAGTCTCGCGCTTGTAGAGCTTGATGGTGGGGAACGAGTTAATCTTGGTGTGCTCCAGTTCGTTGGCGGTGGAGTCAATCTTGGCAACGAGCACATTTTCGTTGGAGGCGAACTTTTCGCCCAGCTGATCGTAAATTGGCGCCAACTGCTTGCAGTGGCCGCACCAGGGAGCGTCTGTCAGAAGCAGGGGGAAAAAGACAGTGTCAGTGACAGCGTAAAAAAGTAATGAAAAAGTGAACTTACAGAACTCAACCAGAACATCCTTGCTCTTATCAAAGGCAACTTCGTCAAAGTTGGTGCTCACCAGCACCTTCACGGGGTTCTTGTCCCAGTCCTCGGGGAGGACCTGCGAGAGCAGATGTTGCTGCAAAAAATGGTTTGTTAGCTTGCGTTTAAGAATAAACAAAAAAGTACCTTAATTTTGCCATCAAGAACACCGGAGACAAAGGCGCGAACGGTTTCTTCGGAAAAGTCGGTCTTCTCCGGTTTGTACTTGGTCATCTCCTCCTCCAGGCGGATGAGTCGCATCGCCGGCACCTCCTCCTTCTTCAGGCCGAAGAACTCCATGATCTTCTCGTGGTCGTCATCGTCGGTGTTGATGGTCACAAAGAGCACCTTGCCCTTGAAGTCCTTGGACACCGTTCGGTAGGACTCGACATTGTTCTTGTACTCGTCGCTCTTGTAGCTGATGAACAGCAGGTTGTGCGTCTTGATCTCGCCGCCGAAAATCTTTTGGGCAGTCTGTAAAAAAGAAAGAGAAGCCGTACTTAGTTATCGATGAAAAGAATGTAGCTGTACAACAAAATACCTCGTGGCTGAACTCGACGACCAGTGGAAGACTGTTGGAGGTGACAAACTTCTTCAGGTTCTCGGCGGTCAGCTCCTCGGCGAGGGTGACGCGCTTCTCGTCAAAGGCCTTGAAGAGGGTAACGCCGTGCTCGGTGATCTCGAGGGCGGCGGCGACGGCCGAGTCGTAGACGACGGCGAACGGAGTCTCGTCATTGTTGGCGGCCACCTCGAGGAAGACCTTGGCGTTGGCGTCGTCCTTCGAGGCGAAGTAGCCCACGACGACCACCTTCTTCTTCTCATCATCACGGAATGCAGTGGCCGCCTCAGCGGTGGTAAGCTCTTCGGCCGGCGGGCCGGTCTTCTTCTTCATCCAGTTGACGATCTCGTCGGCGGTGCGGCCGCCGCCGTACTCCATCACCTTCCCATTGTTCCAGAACTTCAGAGTGGGGTAGCCGCGGATTTCAAACTTCTCGGCGAGATCAGTCTCCTCGGTGGCGTCCACCTTGCCGAGCAGCAACGTGGAGCCCTCCTCGGCGAGCTTCGTGGCCGCCTTGGCGAACTCGGGGGCGAGCGCCTTGCAGTGGCCGCACCAGGGAGCGTCTAAAAGATAATGAGTGAGTGAGGGAGAGGTGTCAGTTGGAGGAGGCGGAGAGAGCGGGGAAAGCCGGCACACTACTTGTCACTTACAGAATTCCACGAGGATGGTGGTGCCGGCGGTGGCCTCCTCGAAGTTGTCCTTCGTCAGCACGAGCACCGACTCGTCTCGCTTGATGTCCTCGAGGGCGCACTGGACGCCGAGGAGGGTGGCGAGCAGGGCCACCGATGTCACCAGGATTTTCACCATTCTTGCACTGTTTAAAAGCGGTGGTGAGAGAGAGAGAGTGTGTGTTGGAAAATCTCTGTCGTGGCCGAGGCGAGAACGAGAGAGCGAGCGAGCACGCAGACAGGGACTGACTGACTGGCAGAGAGTGAGCGAGCTGGTAAGTGCTGATGATGGTAATGATGGTGGTGGAGAGTGTCGTCGATGACGAGGACGGTGACAGTGTCCACTTGCAGCGCGCGCTTGAAGACTCGATGCTGTACCAATCAACTCAACTGTGCGACTGTGCCTGCCAGTGGAATGGACTGTTGATAAAGCAGCTTTGCGGCGACGGTGGCTGCGGCGGCGGCTTCCTAGTATACGTGGCTTTCGCTGCTGGCTTTCACTCGCACAAGCTGTGAGCTGGCCAAAGGGAATCAAATGCACACAGAGAGGATGTGGTCGGTGGGGGCTGTCTTCACTTGGCTGCCTGGCACTGCCACTGCACCCGCCTTTACCACAGAAGAAGAGCGCCTCTCTCACTGTGCTTACTGCTTGTTCTGTGCTGGCTGTGCTTGCAGTGTGCGATGCTCATCGGTGGTTGCTCCTACACACCAGCCAGTTCAGTGGGCACCAGAATCAGCGCCTGTCCTGCCGGCAGGGAGCGACAGCCAGAACGACTTGGGCGCCGCCTAGGAGCTCCCGGCGTGGGTGCCTCGGCGCCCGCCTGTCTGCCTGCCTGCCCGCGCCCGGGATGTTTGAACGCATCTGGCGCCAGTCTTTCTCTTTCCCCCTGTTTGTTTGCCGGTGGTCAGTTTGGGTTTGCACCCAACTTTCACGCCATATGCGACAAAGTTTTCCATTTCCCTTTTGAGAGGAAAGAGAAAGAGAGAGCGAGAGAACCTTTCAGACTGTCTTTTAGCTGTAGCATTGTAGAGATGTTCCACTTGCAGAAGGCCTCGCCTGAACCTGAGCCTCGTTCCGTGCCAGTGACAACAGTTCTCTTCGGGCTAGCATTTTGCATTTCCAGTCTAGTAGTCTACTACTGCCACAATTGTGTCCCCTACGTGTATATCGACCATTTAGCATTAATTAGATTTAAACAGGTAGTGTGTTGCCGTCAGCTTGCGTGAGATGACTACCTCCACCACCGGCAAATGTGCTCGTCACTTTTCAGTGCTCTGCACTCAGCCGAAGCACTTGTTTGCTTGTGCATTTCTCCTTACCATCTTGTATCTGTGTGTGTTCAGGGAGCCGTGCGCACGAGGGCACAATTCACGTTAACCGGTGCTGTGCAGTTGGCAGAGTGCCTTCCTTTCTACTGCGTACACCTGCAACCGCAAAGATGTTCACTGGCTAAGTGAATGCCTGTTTGCAACGAAAGCCTCCAGCAAATCCAGCAAAGACTGTAGACTGCCGTTGCAGTTGTTGTTGGTGATCAAGTCTCCTTGAAGAAGGATGGTGATGATGATGATGATCACCCATCCCCCGTCAAACTACCAACTGAGCAACAGTGGCGCAGGCTGGCCATGTATCACAAGAACGTATTTATTCAAGTATATCGAATGGTTTGAGAATTGGTTTGATTGCAGTGGATGGTTGGGAGGTGGAATGGAGGTTGACAGAAAGAGAAAGAGAGTTGTAGAGAGGTCGTGGAGGCCGTGGAAACTTGAACTTGCCTGTGGCTTGAGATGTGTGTGAGTGTGTGTAGTGAACAAACGGTAGCTTCAAGACAAACGGTAGAAGAGAGAGGAGAATAGTGAAATCACATTTACTACTACGGAGGAGGGAAGAGAGAAAGGAAAGAAAGGAAGAGGAGGAGAGGAGAGGAAAAGAGAAAGCGAAAGAGGTAGGTGTCGTGGTAGACAGACAAAAGAAGTGGCCGTCTGCTGATGCTGGATCAGCTGGTCGTGGTAGAGGTATACAGTGGTCGGAGATGCAACTGGCAGCTTGAAGCTCTTCAAGTGCAATCGTTGCCGTGTCGGTGGGCTTCCTCAATCAGCTAAAGTGAGTGAGTGAGTGCTGATGGAAGTGCCACTTGGTGGCCACAGTCACCATCAGTCCTCATTATCATCGTCAGCAGCAGCAGCCATCGCTGATGGTCGCCGTGGTCGTCGCCTCTGAGACCTCCACCACTTCGAACTCCTTTGAAGCGATGCTGCTGGAAATGCGTCTCTTCTGCAGATTGCGAGTAATGAAAAGTGCATCAGTGGGTCAGTAAGCCACTAGGACAGAAAACTGTGCCCAATTCGGAGCGATCAACTTACTTTGTGTTTAGAGCAGCTGAGGATGAACTTTTCCTCGTCCAAATCACAGTCTATGTGGTAATAAAAGTGGTGTACGAAATAGGAATGTTTAATTTGTGTGTTAGTTTGCATTTCAACTGTTACTACTTGGTAAATTACCTTTGTCCTTAGCACAGAGGTAGTGCAGTGGTGAGACGGTGCAGCTCTTGTAGATGCAGCCCAATGTGGCACCGGGTAATTTACACTTGGTGCATATCTGCATTGAGAGGAAAGAAAGAGAGAGATAGAAAGGGGGAAAGTCAAAAGTGGCCGATTAGTGGTGGTCGAGATGAGGATGATCACAACGAGTAGCAACAGACAATTGAGAGAACTGATAGGTTGCACTGCCAATTTTTGTCGGTCGATAGATATATTGAGGTAAAGCACTCTGCTGATAATCTGCTAATGCTACCACCACACAGGATACTAAAGGTCGACGTGTCTCTCATTGTTAGTGAGTGTCTCTCGCCTGCTATTGACAGATAACACCCGAGGGCTACTTACACTGCCAAAGGAGTCAACGATGGCCTGCTCGAGGTTGCGAATGACGGTGCCGTCGAGGTAGACATTATTCGACCAGACGATGCAGTCCTCGTGGATCCACACCTCCAGACTGACACGAGGCGAGGGCTGCTCTGCTTTGCTGTCCACATCGGATGAAGAATGAGACAGCGCGTTAGAGGAGTGAGCAGTCTTTCCTCCTTTGCCTTCAACGGATTCAGTGCCGGTGGTGGCGGCACTTGAGTCAACACGCCTTCGAAGCGATCTTCTTTCGACTGTGGACTGCTCCACAACTGCGGCAGGTGCCTGGCTGCTCGACTGTTGCTGTTGAGGTTGTTGTTGCTGCTGCTGCTGTTCAGCTGCTGATTCCTCAGTTTGCTGCTGATCAGTCGGTCCATTGGTTGAGTCAATACTGATGTTGCTGGTGCTGGAGGTGTTGGTGGTAACACTGTCCAGCAGAGAACTGGGCAGTTTGCTCCTCTCAATCTGCACAGTGTACGGCCCGTAGAGGTCGCCCAGACCGCGGTGGTGAGGGCCCTTGTGACAGAGAACGCAAACCCAGCTTCGGTCTGGGGTCGAAGAAGGAGATGAGATGCTGCTGTTGTGATTGGCAGTGCTGGAGACGTTGCCGTTAGTGCCGCCATTGTTGTTGTTGTTATTGCTATTAGCGGTGCACCTTCTCGCGAGGGCGCTATTCTTCCGCCCGGTTGATGTCGGCGGCGGCAGACAGATCGACTCGACGCCCACCGGTTTGCCAAAAGTGGCCGCACTTTTGCCGGAAATGGAGGCCGCCTTGGCCGCCAGCTCATCACTGCTCTGCGAGTCATTGATGACGCTGTACTTTGGCTGACTGCCAAAGCCACTGTTGTTGTTCGCCTGATGTGCATTGTCAATACGGACCACCGGACCGACCAGCTTCTTCCGCTTCATGGCCAGCGGTACGGCGTGCTTGAGCGAAGAGGAGGAGTAGCTCTCAAAGGCAGTGTAGTCGTCCAGGTGCAGACTGCTGGGCACGTCGAAGGAGAGCGTCGTGTTGACGCAAGCGTCCACCAGGGCTGACTTGCGTTTTCGCTTGGAGACGGTTTCTGTTGCCGGGCCACCGGCTGTGGACGCCGTTCCTGAAGTTGCCGCCTGCTGGTCGAGATTACGACGGTTTTTGCTGCCAAACGGCCTACCGCGCTTCTTCTTCACAATGACCGGGCCGTCCGGGGTGAATCCACCGCCACCGTTGTTGTTCCCTGACATCATTTGAGCTGATGAGGATTGCGCTGAGTTGGACCAGTGTGGGCCTCCAGTAGAAGATGATCCCAGTGGACCATTGGAGGTAGAACTATTTTGAGGTCCTGATGAGTAATTGGAGCTGCCAAACGCACCACCTCCACCGGCCGAGCAGTCAGAGAGGTGAGGAGTAAAGGATCGACTGGAAGGAGAGGGAGAGATTGCACTGGCGGCGGCAGCATTTTCTGGCCACCAGGCTTTGCTACTTTGAACACTTTGCCCGCTTTGGTTTGCAGCTGCGGAGAAGTTTGTTGCCGCGCTGGTTGCTGATCGTTGGAATGAATCACCGGACTGTTGGCTCGAGTTGAGCTTCCAATTGCTTCCACTGCCACCTCCCGAATTCGCATTGCTTTGCTGTTGTCCATTAGGCGTGGAGCACTGGCTGGCAGAGGCTACGTAGGCGGATAGGACGCCACAGTCCGAATCGGAGGACGATTTAACTGAATCACGCGAGTTGGCCGTCGCCTCTGAGCCGCGGAAGGAATTGACCGAGTCGTGCGTCTGCTCGCCCAGAATTGCCGGCGGTTCACCGCCACCGCCCATAGAAGCCGCCACCTTTACTGAGCCCACAGTCGAGGGGGAGCCACTGCCGCCACCGCCGCTGTTGGCACTGCAGACGGTGTCGGTGCTGCAGGAGCGGTTGCTGAGGAAACTGCTGTTGTTCCCAGAACCCTCTTTTGTCAGTTTCGAAGAGGAGAAGCGAACCGACGCCGACCGACTGCTGTTGTTGGCATTCATAGCCAGGTCAGCAGCACTATTCCCACTGTCACTTTCGACGCTTTTTGAGCTGTGAAGACCGCTGCCACCGCCGCTGTTGTTTCGGTGATGAGCTGCTTCAGACTGAGGTAGTGGTGGCAGTGGTGGACCGTTCTTCAGCGTCGGCGAAAATGGCGTCTGAGGGGGTGGTCCGTGAGAGGGAGGTGGTGGTAGTGGTGGTAGGTTTGAGTATCCACCGCCCCCACCAGGACCACCTGACAGCGGTGTGGCGCACATTCGGTTCTGGTCGAGGTTGTAGTAGGTGGGGAAGTTTGGATCGCCCTCCATTGGATGCATTTGACCGTTTCCTATTCCTGCACCCCCACTTCCGGCGGTCCCAGAGTTGTGGTTAGTACCGCCCCCAATGGCGCCCATTGGAAGGGGCGGTCCGGCAGTTTCGTACTGCGCCCTAAGGTCGCTGCCGCTTTCCGCATCAATCTGCACCATCTTCTGCAGTGACTGCAGTGGATTGCTGCTGCCACCGCTTCCGTTCGATGATGAGGAATTGCTGCCACTGCCCGCCAAACCGCCGATGCCATTGTAGACCTTGTGGACTCCTCCTCCTGATCCTATCGTATTGTCCACCAGTGGCTGCTGAGAGTGTTGCTGCTGCTGTTGTTGATGGTGCGGCGAAGAGGAGGTGTTGAAGTGATGCGGCGTCGACGGACAGGGAATGGGCGAGGGGGTGCTGCTGCTCGGAGAGCTGAGTACATTCGGCGAGTGAGACCAGTGGGCAGCGGCCGCTGACTGGGGTGAGCTTTTGTGCGAGGGAGTATTGCCGGCACTGCCGTAAAGGGCGTTCTGCTGTTGTTGTTGTTGCTGCTGTTGAGCCGCCTGCACTGACTCCCAGTACGCCTTTGAGCCGGGATGCTGACGAGAAAGACTGCTGGCGTTCATGCCGGAGGTGATGAGGGGAGAGCTGCCACCGAGGCCATTGCCACTGCCTCCTCCTCCCAGTGAGCCGTAGGTTGATGATCCACCTAAAGAATGCGAGGGAGTGCGCTGTCCGAGACAGGAGGAGTACAGATCCTGCTGATGGGAGAAGTGGCTGATCGGCGGTAGGCTGGGATATGTTTGCTGGGAAATGCCGGAGCCGGAGAGGCCGGAGATGGGACCACCGCCACCGCCGCCTCCGCCGCCGACGCCACCGTACATTGAGTGAGCTGACTGGAGGGCGGACGCTCCAGGGCCATTCGGTCCGTAGTGGCCTGCACTGCCGTGCAGACCACTGTGTCCGTTGTAGGGGTCATCGCGGTTCAGATACGCCGAGTAGTTCTGTGCCTAGTGTTGTTTAGAAAAAGGAATTAGAAAATAGTAAAGACCAATGGAATAAAAGTGTGCACTGGTCATACCATGAGATGGCTTCCATAAGCACGACTGGCGTAGACATCCGCTGATGCATCTGCGAATGGCACTGTTCAAACAAAAAAAACTGTTAGCTTTTACTTATCCCTCTACAATTTCTTTACAGTCGACCACTTACTGGAATATCCTTGACTAGGGCTGTGCATCGTATAAGACATGGACGTTGTACTGCTGGTGATGATCGGAATGATGGGGAAGAGGATGATGATGAGTGGTGGTAGTGGTGATGATGGCACTGCTGATGCTGACACCGAGGATGAACACTAAAGATTGGTGATGCTGGTGAAAGAGAAAAATACAGAGGTGACTGCCATTAGTTGGTTGAGCTGCCAACGGTGTTAGTGGCCTGTGCGCTGCTACGTGCACATGTGCGCCACATTAGTATCATCATCATCATCATCATCATCAGCAGCATCATTTGGTCCATTGATCAGCGGCTAAGTAGAGCACAGTGAACGAGCGGAGAAAGGTGAGCAAACAAACAGACTAGTGTGATGAGGGAACATCGACAGGAGATGGAGGAGGAGGTGATTTCGCAAGAACATCAAAGCGCCAAAACACAACTTCGACAGACACAGCAGCAGCACTTGCTGGCACTAGTACACGGCACTCAGACAGTAGTCTGCCAGACAGGCACACATTGCCAATCGAAATCAGCAATCAGCAAACAGGCACACAAACACATAGACACATAGGCAGTGGGGATATCTGCAAAGGCTGCAACGAGCCGTCTCCCAGCATTGAACAGCTCTGGCAGCTCAGTGTGTTCAACCAAGTGACAGTACCACTTGGCGCGAGAGTCTGAGCATCAAACGTGCTCGCCAGTTAGTGCCGCTGTCGTTGCTGCTGCTGCTTCATTTGGATCGCCTCACTTGGCAGTGTGCTAGTGTGTGTGTGTGTGTATGTGCCATGGGTCGGCTCATGTGATTCGCACTGAGAGAGGGGTAGGCGCCCCAACCACCACTAACACTGTCAGCAGTGTCTGTCACATAGTGGCACTGGCAATTCAGCTCCTCAACTCCAACTCCAACTGCTGCTGCCGTCGCTGCCCAGAGACGGAGGGAGAGCGGGCCTGTGCTAGCGAAGTGAGTCGCCGAGTGACGGTAGGGCCCAGTAGTGCTGCTCCGAACAACAGGAGGATTGAGTGATGTGGGTAGGATCTGGCCAAATGCTGCTGCTGCACACTCTGCCACTCTTTTTCTCATTTTCTTTCTTTCTTTCTCTGTCTGTCGTTCGCATGTGTTCGGGGAAAAGGAAGAAGAAGGGAATGAGGGGATGCCGCAGCAGAATAGCAGCAGCAGCCGAAAAAGACCCGGTGACCAGCGTTGCTGCTGTCGCTGCTGCCGCTGTCTGCTGTGCTATAGTGGGCGCCGCATCAATTGCCCAAAGTGCCATTGGCCCCACTGAGCCGTCGCTGTTGATGATGATGATGATGATGCCTGCTGGCGGCAGTGGCAGTAGACGCTGAGGGTAATGGTGGTGGTGTGTCTGGCGTCACGCCGACTGAGGCCTGGCCATCCATCTTCCCTTGTTCGTTGGAGGAGTAATCAATGGCTGAATCTCTTCATTGCAGCACTCAGTTCCCGTTTTTTCTTTCCCTCATTCTCGCATTGTCTCATGTGTCTCCTGTCGCTGTTTCAGTGCCCTCGGAGATTCAGGTTCGAGGCAAGAGGGGATTCTCTCTGCTGCTGTGCCCTCATCTCGTTTCGTCTCCTCGTCTCCTGTTCGCCCAGTGGAAATTGCAATCAAAGTGCCCAGTAGTGCACTGCTGAAGTGCCAGCGAAGCAGACAAATTGCCGCCGACATGGCTACACTCTTAATTAATATCCTTCCAGTCTACCATCACCGCCACTACTCTACTTTACTCAATACAACACAACACGACTCAGTTCAGCTCAGCTTTGCCAGCAGGCCTACTGCTTTGACAAAAAATATTGAAAATGTGCTGCAGCAAAACAAGCTTCTGCCAGCAGCAGCAACAGCACTAGAATCAGTAGTTTTAGAAAAAAATAAACCATTCATCGAACTCAACGGAAACGGGTAGAAAGAAGAAGATGAAAACGAAAAGAAGAAGAAGAAGAAGAAGAAACAACAGAATAGAGCAACAGAACATTTTGTCAGTGTAGCACCAGTGTGGTAGTCATTCAACTGAACTGATCACTTCACGAGACTACAAAGGAGAAAAGAAAACTGAAAGAATGCGGCCCGAGTGTGCGAGAGTGCAGTGTGACACTGCACTCTAAGTGTGTCTCTTCTCTTCTTTCTTTCTGTGCATCATCATCAATTAAGAAGTGTGTTCCAAGGCAGGGCAACAAGAACGACAGCAGCATCATCCCCTTACTCTCTCTCTCTCTCCCTTGATCGGCGGTTGCCTAGCGAACCCCACTGGCACTGGCACTACCATCCGGAGCCAACCTCTCTCTTTTTCTTCTGATCGGATACACAGCAAGCCAGGCGACACGATTATTTGGCTGATTAGTGGAGAGAGAGAGAAGGAAGGAGACTTGAGCTGCACAGCAAGTGCATTGGAAAGAAAAACCTTTCTAATGAGCAGGCAACGAGAAAGAGAGAGAGAGAGTGTGATCGGCGACATCGAAAGAAGAAGAAGAAGCTCGCTCATTATGTAGCCCAAAAGCCTCAAGAGGAGAAAGATAGAAAGTATCTGTTGCCCAAAGTGCCATTAGTGCTCGCTCCGCTTCCCTGTCTTGGCGGACAGTGGTGGTGGTGGTGGTGGTGGAACCAGGAAAAGGGAGTTACTTGGAAGAAAAGCAGGCACCAAATCAGAAAGAATCTCTCTAGAAGCTGTTTGTGACTGCGGCTGCTACTGCTCCTGCAGCTGTCTACACAGCCACCACTGCCACCTCTTTTTCAGTTGTGCCGTCAATTAAGTTAATTTCGCCTGAGAGGCCACTTCAGACTGGAGAAAGTCAGCATGAAAAAAGGGAATAGAGCAGTAGAGTAGAAGAAAAAAAAGGAGAGATGCAACGGCATCCACGGCTGAATGCAAACAGCAGCAACAACAACAGAAGTAGCAGAGCAAATGCCGAGAGAGAATGGGAAAGAAAGCGGAATACACCTGCTGCTGATTAGGCTAAAGTAGTGTGGAGTGAGGGAAGAGCAAAGGGCCACGCAATCGGACCACTGACACTGACACATGGCACACCGTCAGCTCAATCTGCTGATGCGATAAGTCACAGGCAGACTGCCTGGCTGGATGGCAAACAGGCAGACAACTCTAATGAATGAATGGATGGATGGAGGGTGCTCGTAGTGCTGCTGCTGCTAGTGCTAGTGCTAGTGCTAGTCCTGGTGGTCTCTTGCCTGGTGAGGTGGCAGTTTTAAATTAAGCCACTCAGGCAAGTGCTCTTGCAAGTCTTCCCTCTCTCCCGATAGGCACCATCAATAATGCAGTCGATGTGGATGCACCGACTGAAGCCTCTGCTGTAATGCATCAATGGCGACCACCATCAACTAATGAAAGAGTGTGCTATCGATCGGAGTGAAGAGAAAGAAGCCGTCGCTACTGGTGGTGGTGGTCACTGACGCAGGACAAAGCTTAGAGCTGAGCTGAGCTGAGCAGACCAGAGACCCGAATGAGGGATTTCAGTGAGTCATCTGAAGAAGAGAGAACATAGAGCTCTAGCACACACACACTCACTCGTGACATGACCACCATCAACTGCAAACTGAGAACGAGCGGCATTCTCTGGTGGCCGGCCACTCTCACTAAATCAGCCAGAGAATCGAAATCGCTTTTGCTGAATTTTAGAAAATGGCAGGCAGGGCGATGCATCGAAGTGATGGCAAAGGCCAGAACGAATTGAGAGCAGAGAAGCGGAGAATGCGAGGCAGAGTGCTGCTCTTCATTAGCGCTCTAGTGAAAGTGAAAGAGAGGTCGGAGAGAGGGAGAAGGAGATGATGAAGAAGAATCGCCTACGAGTGCTGCGGCAGTCGCAGTTTCTGGTGGTCGGCGGTAGTGCCAGACAGGGCAAACTGCCGCTGGGAAGACCCAGCAGCTCTGCTGCTCTGCCGCCGTTTCTGCTCTGATGCTGTTGCAGCAAACCGATTAGATTAGCGAGCCTTCTCCTGACAAGTACGAATTGCCGCAGAGATGGGCCAGCGGACAGAATTAGCAGCAGCAGCAGCAACCCGAAAGAAGACAGCTGGACGGGAGTACACACACAACAAGCGAACAGCAGAACAACGCTGTAGCTGCAGTTGAATAGTTTCCCGCACTCTTCTTCTTCTTCTTCTTCTTGGAGCCAATTGGCACGAGATCCTGTCTGTCTGTTTGTCTCTCTGTCAGTTCGGCAAGAGAAGGGAAGACAGCAAGCGCCCAGTTTCGTTATGTTTGGGCCCAGTGGACACGCAGAGAGGGCGCCCAGAGGAGCGGACAACAACAACAACGACGACTACGACGACGACCACGACGATGACCAAAGTTGTTGTAGGCTGTTGCTAACAAATTGCAGTGGGCAGTTGTAGGCACTGTCTGTCCATTCAGCTGAGAAACACAGAACTGTCCGTCCTGTCCTGTCCGCATCGGCACCGAACACACAGAAGAAGAACACATTCACTGTGAACATTGTCTGTTTCCTCTGGTCGAACATCGCAGTAGATCTGCAGCAGCACGGATGCAGCCATGCACGGATTCAGCACCAGCAGCACCAGCAGCACGAAACAAACAAGCAAGTGAGTGAGGGAGTGAGATCTCAAATGAAGCGAAAGCAACGGAAATGAGTCTCTGGCTATGTGTTCTTATCGCTTCTCATGCATGTAAAGAATGTCTGTTTGGTGGGGATGTGCCCAGTGTACAGCGGCAGCAGCACCAGCAGCATCCCCATCACATCAAACGTCCCAGCGACTGGCCACCAGCGATTGCCAAACGATGTTTCTGTGCAAGCTGTGTGTGTTCCTCTGCAACTCACAGAATAGAGCCGAATGGGTAGTTAGCGAATGGCGTTAAGAGTACATCCAAAGAGGATAGCCATCGAGCTGGTGGTGCTTCAGCTGGTTGGCCAGCTGCGCAGTTGCTGTAACAGCAGCAGTGTAGCTAGAGCAATCTTAGAGTAGAGTCCGCCGTTTGTCGGTTTATTGCGGTGAAAGTGCACACTTCTGCTGCTGCTGTTGATGCTTGAAGACGGCTGGCGCATTCATCGCTGAAGCCTTTGTGTGCCTAGGCAACACATCGTCATCGTCATCGGCACCACCAGCACTGCCATCACTGCCGTCCCTGCAAAGCGACCAAGCTTTGCGTCCATTTGCCGACGCATTTGGCCCCCTAATCCCTGGCAGCTTAGGAATGAGAAGAAGAGGAAAAGAGAAGTGGCTGCCAAATCTCGCCATCGCTTCACTTGTCTCCTGCACCCGCTGCCTGCCTGCCTCTGCTCACATCCATCCCAAACGCATACACTCACTCACTCACTAGACTAATTGAATGGGCCCAAATGATGGGGAGAATTAGTGTGAAGACTGGTGCACTGCCACTGCCAATGCCAGTGCTAGTGAGCCATTTCCATGGGCAAATGAGTGCCTGTCTGCTGTGTGCTGTGGGGGCACCAGAGCTTCAATTGCCCACTTCAGCGGTGACAAGGTAAGTAGATGGGCAGATTGAGAATGAGAGAGAGAGAGAGAGAGAGTGAGAGAAAAAAGGAAGCACCGTCTTGCAGAGAGTACAGAGAGTGCACTGCACTTGCCATCAGCTCCCCTGTCAGCTGTGTGTCACCATATGGGTGACCAGTTGAGCAGTAATGTCCTTTCCTCTGCCTACTTCTTCAGCTGCCATTTGGCTGCTCTGTTCAGCAGCCAGCCAACGATGCCTAGCATCAGTGTCAGTGCCAGCTCTAGTGCCTGTCTGTCTGTCAGTGTCTCCAGGCACCACACACAGTCTCTCTGGTGCCATACTTTGTACATTTCCGCACGCTCCGGCCACGAATGGCTCAAAGGGCCATTTAACGCAACGCGTAATGGCGCTCTTCCTGCGTCTCCCACTCCCGCTTTGGACCATGCACAGCCGTTCACTCACTCGCTCACTCACTCGTTTGCTAGCTCTCTGCGATGCTGCCAAATTCGAGGCGACTAATTGCTGACACGGACGGACGCATATAAAGGGGGTGAAAGCGAGAGCGAAAGAAGGAGTATTGATGGCCGAGCAATTTCAGAACCACCAGCAGCAGCAGCATCAGCAGTGGCAATCTCTGAAAGCAGATCAAGCACTCTTGGACCGGGTAAATGTGCTATGAAAGGCGAGAAGGCGCAGAAAAGAAGAAGAAGAATGAGGCTGCTCGCCAAGCTGCCGCTCGCTGCTGCTGCTGTATGAAGAATTGCTGCAACGGTGACGATGAGGAAAAGGAAAAGGCAGAAGAAGAAGGGACTTTGCTGCCGCTGTTGCTGCTTCGCTAGTTAGTTAGAAAGTGACAGTGCTCGGCTCAGCGGCTCAGAGAATGAAGGAAAGAATGAAAGGAAGAAAGAATGAATGAATGAAAAGGAAAGAGAGGCAAAGAGGGAACTGAACAACTGCTGGAAAGACGCCGCTGTCCTCCTCCTGCTCCTGCTACTACTCCTGAAGCCCTACACCATCAGATGTGCGAGTGTGTGTGCATGGAGACGCTGCATCAGCTGCTTCAAATGCATGAACACACACTTGGCATTAAACACAAGTAGAAAATCTGATTAGGAGGGCGACTAAGGCCAGGAGGAGTGCTGGGGTACTGCTGATGTCGCTGATGCTGACGCTGATGCTGACGCTGAGTTGTACTCTGAGCTGGCAAATGCTGCACCAGAATTAGAGTGGTGGCGAGGGTCCGAGAATGAGAGAAAACGAAGAGAAAATGTGTGTGAGGGGATAGCAAGCTGGCGAGAGTAGTAGTCCGATTGGAATTAGCTCTGCTGCGTGTCTGGATGGCTGCCTCTGCCTGCCTTCCACTGTGTGTAGCTGAGTGAGTGAGTGAGTGACTTGGTCTTCCCGCCGACTGGTTCAAGCTAGGCGATCCTACTCAGCAGCAGCAGCAGCCGCCGCTGGTCCTCACACTCTATCTCAACTGCTCTGCACCGGGTGCCACTGCTGATTCGGGTGCAGCAGCAGCAGAAACAGCAGCAGTCGAGTGGTGGAATCGAGTTGGAGAAGAAGCAGAAGCACGCAAAAATCGAGCGTCGTCGTCGTGGTCGTCATTAAATTAGCCGAGCATTTATTTGACTCGAAGCAGTTGAAGCAGGCAGACAGCGGCAGCAGCAGAAAGAAGCTCAGCGACTTTGGTGGTGGTGATGATGTGAGCACACACATACGCACACTCAACTGAACGTATTCCGACTACTAACGACCAGACAACGACAGCACCAGCAGCACCACCGAGGAGGACATCAACAACAGGCGCCGTTGAAGTGAACAGCAGAAAAAAATGAGAAGAAAATGAAAGAGGGAAAGAAGAAGAATGGCCGGCAGAGAAGGGGACAACGAGAAAGAGAGGGAACTGGTCTGGTGTGCAGAATTGTTGTTGTTGTTGTGGTGGTGCTGTCATCTCTCTCTGGAACTGCTTTTTCCACTGACTATTGCAGAATTAGTCGCGAGAAGTGCTGAAAAGTGCTCCGCTGCGGCGGCAATCGAATCGGCACAGTGTTGTTGGCCCTCTCTAGCTGACTGACTGACTTGGCGACGGCCATCACCACGGCCACCACTTCTCAACTGACTGACTGAGCTGACTCAATCAGCGACTACGACCCAGTGGGACAAACTCTGCTGACTCTTCAAGACACCGACACCAATGGAATGAAGTCAGTCAACGAAGTCGACGACTGGGGCACGAGTGAGTCGCACCAATAAATGGTAGCCACTGTGGTGGTCTTGTGGCAAGAGCCGTCTGCAAGGAGGAGGGGAGGGGGGCAAAAGAAGGCGCCGCGGAGCTTTAATTTCGTACAGCAGTCGTAAACGCCGAACGATCAATAATGAAGGCAGGAAAGAAAGAAAGAACGACGAGTCTCACTGTGTGTGCCTTCTTTCTCCTCTTCCTTCAGTCGTACAAATGATAAATCGATGCAGTTCGCCTTCTAATGCAGACACACTGCTGCTTCGGCAGTGGTCGAAGAGCAACAGCAGCGGGAAAAATGAGGGTGCCAGGGTAGCACCAGGAGCACTTCCACCGCCGAATTCGTTGTCGCCGCCACCACAAGAGCACCCAGGAGAAAGAAAGAAAAAAGAAAGAGCGCCTGCAGCAAATGCAAACACACCGCCACATGCGAGCCACATTTGCGCTTTTCTGTCTGGCGCCATGAGCTCCAGGAGAGCAACCTTCCTTCCTTCCTTTCTCCTTCTTCACCGAATGAATGAGTTAGAGAGAGGGGTAAGGGATTGCCTATATATTATGTGGAACCAGCAGCAGCAGCAGCAGCACACCGGACAGACAGAGCAGCAGTGGCAACGAGGCGAAGATAATAATAATGCGTTGATGCAATGCACCGCGCACATTGCTAATAATAATGAGCAAATGCCAATACTCTTTGAGTCCAGGCGACTGAGGGTGGTAAGGGAAAGAGTGCACAGTCAGCGGACACACAGTGCTGGCATTAGCACACAGTGCTCACTGTCACACACATCGTCGCCAGGCAGCAGAGACCAGCACCAGCAGCAGTCTTGGTAGTGCACCACACTCTTTTGTACAGTCCACAGAATTCTCGCCGGCAAGATAACAGCAGTCAGGAGCACTGCTCTGCAGCCCACAGAATGCGACCCACTAATCACTGGCCGATGCTACGTCGAGATACCGCCGAATGCGTGTGCGCCCGGCTAATACTGTAGATTGAATCAACGTCGTCGTCGTCGTCGCCTCACACACACTGACTTACACTGAATGAAACATAAGAATCCAATAGTGCAGTCAGTCAGTCCTTTCCTTCATTCAACTGCGTCTGAAGCTAAATTCCGCCATTCTCTTTGAATCCCTCTCTCCACTTCTCCAACGATGTCATTATTAATCTGTCATAATTGGCACTTGGGAGTGGGATGCTGGTGCTGGGGCTGGCTCTGCAGCCTCTGCTGCCGCTGCTGTCGTTGCTGATGTNCTCCACTTCTCCAACGATGTCATTATTAATCTGTCATAATTGGCACTTGGGAGTGGGATGCTGGTGCTGGCTCTGCAGCCTCTGCTGCCGTTGCCGCTGTCGTTGCTGATGCCGTTGTTGTTGCAGCTGTAATCTGACTGGCACACTAATTGCCACCACCGCCGTTGCCGCCGACGTCGTCTTACTGGCACAGAAGCCGATAAATGATGGCGATAAGTGCTACTGTCGCTCATTGAAGCANCATTATTAATCTGTCATAATTGGCACTTGGGAGTGGGATGCTGGTGCTGGCTCTGCAGCCTCTGCTGCCGTTGCCGCTGTCGTTGCTGATGCCGTTGTTGTTGCAGCTGTAATCTGACTGGCACACTAATTGCCACCACCGCCGTTGCCGCCGACGTCGTCTTACTGGCACAGAAGCCGATAAATGATGGCGATAAGTGCTACTGTCGCTCATTGAAGCAGTAGTCCTCTTGCCTGCTGTACAAAGATGAAACTGCTCCTCCTGCCTGCTGATTAAAGCCGCGGACCCGAGCAGTGGTTGAGCGACACTNCTACTGTCGCTCATTGAAGCAGTAGTCCTCTTGCCTGCTGTACAAAGATGAAACTGCTCCTCCTGCCTGCCTGGCAGTGCCTGCTGATTAAAGCCGCGGACCCGAGCAGTGGTTGAGCGACACTGCCGCCGCCAAAATCACTGGAAAATCGGACGCTGCTGGTGCAGCTTGAGTACGGCTGGCAGTTAATTTTACCCGTCGAAAACGTCATTAAGGGGGCACTTGCATTAGCAGCAGTGAGACTGTCTGCTTGCACTGCTGATGCTGGTGTCACCAGCAGAAGCAGAGGCAGGCAGTGTGTGTGCAGAAGCAGCAGCAGTTCCATCCGGCGTTCCATTTAGACAGGAGCAATATCTTCTCAGGGGAATATTTGCCTTGGCCAGTTGGTCTGTTGGTTGAGAGTGTTGGCTGGTTGGTTGGTTGGTTGTGTGTGTTTTATCAGAGCATTGCCACCAGTCTGTTTGTCTGCCTGTGCCTCTGTGTGTCTGTGTCTACTTCATTCAGCCTGGTACCAGCAGAAAACGGGAAACGCACTTTTTTCCTCTCTTCGTTCTCTGTTTACCCAAACTCATCAGCGAAGGTTAGTGATGCGTTGGCGAATGGAGCAAGGCAGATAGCAATTAAAAAATTGTCAGGCACAAGCAACACCACCGCCAGCAGCAGCAGAAGCACTCGATGACCTGGCTACTGACGGTGGTGCTGATGGTGGCGGTGGTGGTTGACAAGAGTGCCACTCGATTCAGGTTCGGATGAAAGTGAGACCGAAGAATGGGAAGCAGACTGGCTGCTGCTGCTGCCGAACTCACTTCAGGCTAGCAGTCAGTGCTCTCCAAAAAGCTAATGACTAACGACCGAGTCGAGACAAGGCAGAAGGGGGGGCAACGAATGGAGAGAATGAAGCGGAATCATGGGTCTGATCGAAAGACGACGACAGCAGCAGCAGCGATCCAATCGAGGAGAATGAGAGGGGTAGGCAATCGATCAGGAACACTGAAAGAGAGAGAGAGAGAAAGAGAGAGA